TTTCCTTAAGCAGAAGGGCCTCTTCCTATGGCCACCATTGCCCCTGGCCTGTGGTGAGTACTACCTGTCTACCACTGATGTTTATTCAAGGTCCAAGGCCTCTTTAGTCAGCTTGCAGTGAATGCTGCCAGTCCCGCGTCTCTCCTTTCAGGGCAGTGGGCTCCCCTCTGTCCCAGGACAGGTGTAGAAATGTCATCCTGGAACCAAAACCTATAGCCAGAACCCCAAGAGCCCAGTTGGTGCTCTACCCCACTGTGGCCAACCTAGTATGCAAGCTGCAAAAAAAAGTCCCCTTTACTCTTCGGTCTCCTTTCCTCAAGCAGGAGTTTTTTCCCATAGCTACTAGAGCTGAGAATGTGCCAGGTCATAGATGAAGCCAGCACAGCTTTGAGTCTCACCCAAGGCCTGTAGCAAACACTGCCTGACCACCACTGGTGAATATTCAGGGCCCAAAGACTCTTTAGTCAGTGGGTGATGAATTTTGCCAGGACCAGTTCTTCCTGTTCAAGGCAGTAGGTTCCCTTCTAGCCCATGTTCCCTGGACATATTTCCATGACCTAGGGCCTGGAATGGGGGCCTCAGGACTCTGCTTCATTTCTTATCCTACTATGGGTGAGCTGGTATCTAAGTTGTAAGACAAAGTCCTCTTTACTCTCCCCTCTTCTCTCCTCAAACAGAAGGAAGGAGTCTCTCCTGGATCTGTGAGCTGCACTGCCTGACGTTGGGGAAGGGGTAACACAAGCCCTCCCTTGGCTGCCCCAGCTAGTGTCTCACTAGGTCACATATTCCCTAAGTCCACTGGCTTTGAGCCCAGCATGGCACCAGTACTTGCCCAGAAATTGCAGTCTTTGTTGCCTAGACTGTCTTGCAAGTTTGTTTAGAAGCCCAGAGTCCTTTAGCCAATGGTGGCAGGGCTTGTTGGTACTCAGGTCCCAGCCATTGAGATGGAAGATTTACCCCTGGCTAGGACTGGTATAAATGCTTCCTCCATAGGCTCTGGTGGAGTTCTGCCCCATGTTGCTTTCCACTGTGACAGGGCAGCACTGAGTTCCAATGCAAAGTCGTACAGTCACTGTGCTCTGCCTCCCTTAAGCACACAGATTCTCTCTCTGTGCCTTGAAGCTGCTGCCAGGGAATTGGGGCGGGGAGGTGTAGGCGAGTCAAGAATGTCTTTTCTATTTTCTTCAGTGCCGCTTTCCTTAATATGATGTTAAAACCAGGTACTATTATCACTCACCTGAATTTTTTGTTCTTATGAAGGGGCTTTTTCGTGTGGATAGTTGTTCAGTTTGGTCTTCCTGTGAGGGAGATGATTGCTAGAGGTTTCTGTTTGGCTTTTTAGCTCTGCCTCCTCCCTAATATTTTAAATTCTTCCGTTAATTCCAAAATTTCTGACATATATCTGAATATGGTCCTGATTTTTTTTTGGCGGGGGTGGGGGAGTGGGGGGGCGATCTCTTTAGGCTTTTTTTTCCCTTCCTTTTTTAAAGATGCTTTTCAAGTAGAACAGACTGTTTTATGCCTTTATTATGCCTTATAATTTTCATTTAAAGCCTGGCATAACACACTGGCTAAAAAGTTGTCATAAATAGTCCATTAGCATAAGGTTTTATGTTACTTGGCTAGAGGTTAGACCATGTTTACTGTTTGCTGTAGGTGAACCAGAGGCAAAAATTTTCCTTGATATTTTGTTTTTGACTCCCTGGTTGTCTTTGGGTTTCCCTAGAGACTCGGTCTCAAATTGAGTCTGAGGCATCTGGTGCTTTCATCTATAATCTCCTGTTCATACATAGTAGCCTCAAAATGTGTTGGTAAGGTGCCAGGGAAGAAGCATTGTGTAGTCATATGATTAGATCTCAGTCTTTTATTGTGCTTGTCTCCCTGGGCTGTGGCCTTCACAAATGCTTCTCAGATTTTTTTTTTTTTCTTAACTTTTCTTTCAGGTTCAGGGATACATATGCAGGTTTGTTATATAGGTAAATTGTGTGCCACAAGGGTTTGGTGTATAGATTACTTCATTGTGTAGGTAATAACGACAATACCATAGTACCTGATAGGGTAGTTTTTTGATCCTTACCATTCTCCCTCCCTCAAATCTTAAGTCGGCCCCAGTCTCTGTTGTTCCCTTCTTAGTGTCCAACATTTTCCTCCTCTTTGATCAGATAGGAAAGTTAGAGGGCTCTGGAGTTGAGTATCTTCCTCTGCTACAAGGAAGGCTAGGCGAGACTGGAGTTGGGTATTTCTCTTCCCCCAAGTTGGTTAGGATCTTGTAAAACCTAAGTTAGTCAGGCTCTGGTAAAACAGTTTCCCTTAAGACAGGCTTTTGCTAAGAACAGAACACTTTGGGCATATTTCTTTCTTTCTTTTTTTTTTTTTTTTGAGACGGAGTTTCACTCTTGTTACCCAGGCTGGAGTGCAATGGCGCGATCTCGGCTCACCACAACCTCTGCCTCCTGGGTTCAGGCAATTCTCCTGCCTCAGCCTCCTGAGTAGCTGGGATTACAGGCACGCGCCACCATGTTTGGGCATATTTCAAAATGGTTACTTTTACCTCTCTCATGTTGAAAGTCTGAAGGGATTTTTCTCAAATCTTCACTCTGAAAACTTCATGGGGTTCTTGGAAGAAAAACCCAGGGAAGTGTGGAGGTCTCTCTAAGGCCTCTGAGAATTTTTAGCTCTCAACCTCATTCACTCTTAGCCTCTGGCATGTCTTCGTTTACGGTTTACGTTCCTACTGGTAATAGCTTCACTGACATGTTTCTGCTCCTGGTAAGCTGTGAATCTGTGTTTTTCTGTCTCTAATATTTTGGTGGCAGGTTGCAGTATGACTTCAAGTTTCTGATAAATCTAAGAAAAATTCTTGATTTGTCAGTTCAGCTTATTTTTCTGGTTGTGAGGATGGGACTGACAACTTCAAAGCTCTGTATATATCAGACTAGTGGTATTGATTTTTAGTAAATTGATCTTGCATCTAGGAATATTTCAGAAGTCTCTCATTATTTTAATTATTTGTTGATTTTATTGCATTTCCATTTCACCTGTAAATAATTAAAATTTTGTATATTTCTTTCCAATTATTGTATCTTCTATTCTTTTTTTATTGCATAGGAGTGTTACCTCATTAACTTCTAAAGCTCTATAAATTATTCAGTATAATGGCCATGTATTAAGAATAAGTTAACTATCTTCTGACTCTTTGAGGCTTTCATAATCAATAATTTTTTATTATTTATAGACTCTTTTTTTTTTTTTTTTTTTTTTTTTGAGACGGAGTTTCGCTCTTGTTACCCATGCTGGAGTGCAATGGCGCAATCTCGGCTCACCGCAACCTCCGCCTCCTGGGCTCAGGCAGTTCTCCTGCCTCAGCCTCCTAAGTAGCTGGGATTACAGGCACGCGCCACCACGCCCAGCTAGTTTTTTGTATTTTTTAGTAGAGACGGAGTTTCACCATGTTGACCAGGATGGTCTCGATCTCTCGACCTCGTGATCCACCCGCCTCGGCCTCCCAAAGTGCTGGGATTACAGGCTTGAGCCACCGCGGCCCGGCCTATTTATAGACTCTTAAGTGATTTATTTTCCTAGGAATTTAGAATTCTCACCCTCTGATGTATAATTTTTCAACTCTACTTGAAGATTCAGTGCCCTTTTTATTTATATTTAAAAGATGCAGGTTTTGACTTTAAGATTAAAATATCAGATTAATAGTTTTCATAGGTTTCATTTTGACTGAAGAGTGATGGTTGAATTTTACTTTTCTGCATGTATTGAGACAATCATATAACTAAACAAAAACTATTAAAGTAGTAAGTTACTTTAATTTTCTAATATTAAATCATATTTGGATTCCTGTAATAGATTAAACTTGGTCATGATATATTATTATTTTTCATATATGTTTCTGGATTTGGTTTGCTAATGATGTATAATTTTTTTTCCTGACCCTTCCAGATAATACACAGCTTCCTCCTTTCAGATATTTAAAGAGTTAAAATAATCTTGCCTGTAAACAAAGGCTTCTATTCCAATATGTCTTTCTCTCTCTTTCTAAGAAAAATCACCCCATTGCTATGTTAATAGGTCAATTTACCTTTTATAAGATAGTTTATAAATTCTATTGATAGTTAATTTTTTGAAACTTTATGTGTTGGTTCTGATCAATGTTATTAAGGGAGTTAGTTTTCATTATGTGAGGTCCTCACAAAACCATGGGCACATGATAGTTTGTGGTATTTTATTAATGTAATGTGGTCAAATTTGGATTTTTTTGAAGTTATGAAAGTATTCATTAAGTTATTTAGCAAATATTTGTTGAATATCTGCTATGTGTCAATTATTATTCTAAATGCTGAGGATACAGCAATAGGAAAAAGAAAAATCTCATCCCAATCAGGCATCATGGTAATAGTCTTAGGACCTAATGATGGCATCAGAATAGAAATAACTTTATTGTGATGTCACACAATTCACACAGGAAATGATTTTTGCTAGTCATTTCATGCCTGGGGCTAAAATCCCTTTTAATCAATGATAAAAAACAAATACACTACTTATAATCAATAATTAAAAAAACAAATTTGACTTTCTTACTACTACTAGTCCTTTTTGATTACAGTTTATGTAAACATAAAGTATTCATAATAAACAATGTGATACAAATAAATCTATAAAATTATTTGCTATTATGTTTATATAAATATTTTTCAAATGGCTTTAGATATATTTTGATGTTAGTATACCAAATGAATTTGTAGCACACTCTAAAAGTGTTTCTTAAAATGCTTACAAGTATAAATATGTATCTTTTCATATTAAAAATTAATGGATTATTCAAAAACAGGAAATAGTATACTCATTTTGATTAATATTTAACAACTCAAGTAGTGTTAATCAAGTAATTAGGAAACTTACAACTTTTATACATTCACTTTTACATTATAATGATCTTTATAATAGACAGTAAGTATAGTAAATTCTAATAAATGTTTACCAAGTGTGCATAACATTGAATTTGAGTTGTAATATAATTTCTAGTTTAAAATATATATGAAATCACAGCTAATCCAAAAATTACCAAACTGATTGCAGAAATACTGGTACCCAGATCAGGACTGCTGGGATTTGGTGGAGGAATAAATTTAGTTGCTTGTGCAATGTTTGAAACCTCTGAGGTGAGACTGGCTTCACTGGTGGCTTGAATTGCAATATAGAATGTGGTGCCATTCTCTATTTTAGAATATCCTGGTTTAAATCCAAAATTTTCTACTGAGCCAGCCGCCTTAGGTATCAGACCAGAAGTATTTATTAAAGCAGCTTTGTCAAAATCTTGTTGGAGGTCCTGGAAATATTTACTTATTCTTATGATGTAGCTGTCAGCTGGAAAACAAATAGATACTTCAGGTGTATTAAAATTACTAGGATGCCATGCTGCCACCACACTGCCTTACATTTAGAAATGTATCAGAAACGCACCCTAGATTTTAGTTATAGAAATCCCATTTGTTTTCGTCTGGTTATTCCATCTTCATTGTAAAGAAAAATGCATAAACAGTTTTTCTTAAAATGCATATTTCTCTAATCCCAGTAAATTTTAATTCAAAACCATATGGTACTAAAAAGTCAAAATCTTGATTCCTTTTTAAAAAGAGAAATATAAGGTGCTTAATCTACTTTTTAATTTATAACAAGTAACATAATAGTATTCTAGTATAGTGAAGATACTCAGTATCTCATACATGTGTCATTTCTAATTAAGTTAAAGGAAGAAGTAATAGGACAGGGGAGAAAGAGAGATGACAAATAGAGTGGGAAACAGGGACAAGGATAACCAGCAAAAGGAGGCAGAGAGACTGGAATGTGTGCTACTGAAACATGTGCTAAGCAGAAAGACAAACATCCCATGTTCTCAGTTATTTGTGGGATCTAAAAATCAAAACAATTGAACTCATGGACATACAGAGTAGAAGAATGATTCCTAGAGGCTGGGAAGGGTAGTCGGTGGGGCTGGGTAGGAGAAAGTGGGAATAGTTAATGAGCACAACAAGTAGAAAGAATGAATAAGACCTGCTATTTGATAGCACAACAGAGTGACCATAGTCCATAGTCAATAATAACTTAATTATATATTTAAAAATAACTAGAGGAGTGTAGTTGGGTTGTTTGTAACACAAAGGATAAATGCTTGAGGGGATGGATACCCCATTCTCCATGATGTGGTTACTTCACACTGCATGCCCGGATCAAAATCTCATGATCACCCCATAAATAAATAAATCTCATTATCACCCCATAAATATATACACCTACTATGTACCCACAAAAATAAAAAATTTAAAACTTAGAAAAATAAAAAATAAAAGTAATTATGTGCTAAGGACCAAGGCAGACCTTGAGTAGCACCTGCATTTTACTACTAGCTAGCTGTGTAATAAAAAGAAGTTTATTTGAGCTTTCTTATCTCTAGTTTGTTTTTTTTTTTTTTTTTTTTTTTGAGACGGAGTTTCACTCTTGTTACCCAGGCTGGAGTGCAATGGCGCGATCTCGGCTCACCGCAACCTCCGCCTCCTGGGTTCAGGCAATTCTCCTGCCTCAGCCTCCTGAGTAGCTGGGATTACAGGCACGTGCCACCATGCCCAGCTATTTTTTTTTGTATTTTTAGTAGAGACGGGGTTTCACCATGTTGGCCAGGATGGTCTCGATCTCGACTTCGTGATCCACCCGCCTCGGCCTCCCAAAGGGCTGGAATTACAGGCTTGAGCCACCGCGCCCGGCCATCTCTAGTTTTTTTATCTATTAAAATAGAGATTCAGTTATTCAATTCATTCAACAAATATTTATTGAGTGCCTACTATTCTAGTGGTAAGAATTATAGATGATAATGCATGAAATATGTTTACTATGATTTAATAAATGGTAAACTAGTAAATGTTTGAAATATTGGCTTTTATTTTATCAAGAAAGGAAAAGAATATGCCAACATAAATGTTTCTTTCTATACTGCTTTTTCATATCTACCATTCATATAAAAATATATTCTCACATCTGAAATGTGATGAAAAATAAAACATCAGATGTTCTTTTTTGAAGTGAAGACTTTGTTTTTAACTTTTCCATGAAATGTTGAAGGTATTTCAAGTGTGTGGTGAAAAACTTTTAGTGTATTTTTAAAAAGAATTCAGATCCTCTGCTTAACATTTAGTTTCCTCTTAAATAGGCCTTATCAAACCATTCTATTACTCTTCTCAAAAACCCTGTGTTCCACTTAGGCAGGTCTCTCTCTCTCTCTCTCTCTCTCTCTCTCTCTTCTCTCCTCTCCACCTATCTAGTCTCTCTCTCTCTCTCTCTCTCTCTCTCTCTTTCTCTCCTCTCCACCTATCTATTCCGTATTTTAATTCAAATAATCCATTGTGAAATTTTGCTTTCTTGACCTTGATCATATAATTTTGTTCTTTCTCTCTCCAAAATGTGCCTCCTTCTCCCTGTGGTTGCAGATTGTACTCATTCTTTAAGGTCCAACCAAGTCCAACGGCATGAAGTCTCGTCCAAGCATTTCATTCACCCTTGATGACTCTCTTTCATGAACTTCTGTTTCATGGAATGGAGTTTTTCAGATAGTTTAGTAGAGGTTCAATTTGTCATTCTGATTAGATCTGATAATTTTTGAGGACAAAGAGTATGTTTTATACTCTTTGTATCACTCAGGATGCCTGGTCCTGTGTTGGCATGTATTTGATCTCCTTAATTACTTGGCAACAGTACAGTTGTTGACACCCAAAATGATGGAATTAGAAAATCATAAAATATAAGAATTATATCTACTTTTTTATAGCAATTTTAGGTCATCTTGTCTAATTTGTATATCTGATAGGCATGGAAATTGTGTCACAGGTAATTTAAGTGCTTCATTTAGGATTATATAGACGTCATTTATTCTTTAAGATACTGTTACTACCTCACTTTTGGAAAGTCTACAGGTAACATTTAACAGGTACCACTACCTCTTCCTATTTTTCCTAAGGAAAGACAAAGATTAGATCCCACCTGTTTTAGGCACTTGTGGTTATATATTACTCCTACTTTTAGTTCTTATAATCAGCATGAGGGATATTTATTATGAACCCAATCTTGAACTGAAAGCTTGTTTTTTACTGAATTCACTATAGAACTAAGTATATAGTCAAGAAATTTCATTTGAAGCTTTTCAGTGGCAATATTGGGGATTTTGCCATAGGTTTAAGGGTCATAGCATGAAAAAATAAGGTATTTCAGAAGCTGTCATAAGGTTTTCAACATTGAAATACAAAAGCTCTGTGCATATTCTATGTTTCCTCTGGCTTTTGAATGATTTTCTCTTTGTATAATAATGATAAGAAATGCAGCTTTGAAAATGCTATGTAGTGAGTGAAAGAAGCATCTTTTCTTCTGAGAGTGTACAATGAGGGGTTTATTGTAACCCAGGAGAAACAGTATTCAACACTGGTGTTTTAGCAGTGGCAATCTCTGAGATATTATGTATATCTAGATTGCATATTGCTTTCATTTTTCCCAATCTTAAAAGGAAAACAGCAAGACTGGCTTTATCCAGTCTTGGATAAAGTTTCATAGGTTATAAAAGTCTACTAACCTATGTAATACTGGAATGTGGTAGGCATTCAGTAAATACTGATTGAATTCATTTAAATTTCAAGCAAAGATAGAAGTAATTTAAACTTTTTGGAATTAGGGTAGTTTGTTATTAGGAACTTTGAATAAATGAGATCTTTTGAACTTAAACTTTATGCAGACTCCATGAACAAATCTTCCAAACAAGTGAGTTTCTGTGCACATGAACATCTCTCTCTCTGTGGGAAGCCTTCACTTATCTTGGGTAACTACCTTCATTCTTCAATACTCAGGGATAGTCTTCCTTGGGAAGGCTTTATGATATACTCTATGATTTCAACCTCTAACTAGGGGTTTGTGGCCCCTCTGTGGGTTGCCACATGATTCTCTGTTTATAAAAGCATAAGCCTTCTTATACTTTATGTAATTATCTGTTTACTTTTGTGCCTTCTGTATTTAATTGACTGCATGGATCTTTCTTAGGAACTCAACAGTGTGACAGCCCACAGAAGGTTGATAAATGAATGAAACTGCAAGTACAGAAATACTTAAAATTTGGGGAGAAGATAATGCAACAGAAAGCTGTTAACTGTCTTATCAAAGTAATTTCTAAGATGCTTCCATTTCTGACAGGTTGGCATAATAGAATCTGACGTGATGGGTTAGAATTATAAGTTATGAAACATAGAAATAACTTGGTCCAGTAATCTCTTACAGTTTTCACATCTGAAAATAATTAAATAATGGCCTATAATAGACACTTCATAAATGTTATTTATAAATGGGACATTAGAAAATTCTTAGCAAATGAAAGGCAATGGGATTTCTTTTAGTGTGTTTTAAAACATAATGTTAAACTTACCTCTTCCTTTATCGAGAACCTTGCCAGGGGCAGTCCATGAAAGTTGAATATGATCTCCTTGAAACTTAGCTTCAAGGTCTGTAATTTTACCAGGTGGGATCGCCTGAGAAGAATTACTATTAGGAGGTACTCCTGATACAGTAAATGACCCTCCAGAGGTGAGTCTGCTGAAGTTGTCTATTGGAGCTTCTGTCACTTTACCTTTGACTTCAGGTTTGGGTGGGTTAATTATAATTGTTCCTACCAAGAAAAAAATTTTGTAACATTTCATATATGTTTACTCTTTTTTTTTTTTTTTTTTTTTTGAGATGGGGTCTGGCTCTGTTGCCAGGCTGGGGTGCAGTGGTGGGATCTCAGCTCACTGCAACCTCTGCCTCCTGGGTTGAAGCGATTCTCCTCCTCAGCCTCCTGAGTGGCTGCGAGACTACAGATGCTCGGCAGCATGCCCGGCTAATTTTTGTATTTTTAGTAGAGACGGGGTTTCCTCATGTAGGCCAGGCTGGTCTGGAACTTCTGACCTCAGGTGATGCACTCGCCTCTGCCTCCCAAAGTGCTGGGATTACAGTAGTGAGCCATCATACCTGGCCGCCATGTCTATACATCTTGCAAGCTGATCTGGCAACGGTAAAGGATTAATTTCGATTGATAGCAGACATTGAAAACGTAACAGCTTTTAGTGAGAAAAAGCTTGTTTACTGATATTTAAAAATTGATCAGGAAACATTATGCTATGTTAAAACTATCTTTTAACCTATCTCTCTCTACTACATGGCCGAAAATTCTTTGAGGACCAGGATTACGTTTTATTTGTCTTTGTAGCTCTAGCACCTAGCACAGTGTTTGCAACATAGTAGGTGCTAAGCAATTTTTTTTTTTCAATGTAAATGAAATGAACTCAGGGGAATGTGACCAAAATATGTGGAAACATAGGTCTATGCTAGGTCTACAAATGCCAATATGGTTTTGAAACATACAGATGATTACAATGTTATATATTTGGGCTTTCTGTAGTACATTATATTTTGAATGTTTGCCATATGCAATTTGTCTAAACAACTGACACATTTCTGTTTTACTGCTACTTACCATTTTCAACATAGCCCGGTATGTACAGAGCTTTATTCTGTTGTTGTCTTAAACTTAGCCTAGCTGTGTTTTTTCTTGCCTGGGCATGCACTTTTAAACTGTATCTACCATTTCTACGGTAATCTGTAAAATATCTTGAGTAGATGCCATCATTCTTGACAGTGTCAGCACCTTGATAACAAAATGTAATAATGAGTCATCCAATAAAGTAAAAATGACAATCATATCTGTTTATGAACACTGATGATGTCAGTAATTTGGGAGATAGTATGTGGCACAGTGTTATAAGTACATGAATTCTGGAATCAGACATTTTGGTTGAAAGCTTGAGCCACCTGCTAACTCTCGTGTTTTTGGAAAAGTCTAATTGATGGTAGGCATTCAATTAATATTAGCTGTCACTATTATTTCATAAAAAAGAACTTATTAAAATAAGAAAAATATAGCAACTGGAGAAAACATATATGAAACACTGACATTAATGAAAATAGAAATTTTGCTCTTAAGTTCCATGGAAAAAGTAAAATTGCTCATAAAATTTAAAAATGGCAAATGTGCTATGTCTATGAGTTGTCGAGATAACTGAGAAAAAAGTTTTAAAAACATTAGGATTAAATTTCATTTACTTAAAAATGTGATTCATTAGCAAATACAGATAATAGTGTCTTCTAGGTCATAGAACTACAGGAAGATTTTAAGTTTAGTGGAAGTTGATGCAGATTCTTATTACCTGCACCATTGTCCCAGAGCTCCAATGTTACTTGATGTCCATCTTCATTTTCTATAACGGCTGTTACATTGATTCCCAGAACAGGCAGAAACCCTTGACTGACTCGTGCATAAACAATCATTGGGCTAGGGTAACGAGCTGTATTTTGATTCATGTGAGCCGTTGCAATTACTGGGAGTGTGGCAGGGCTTTTTGGTCGAGTGGTCATTGTGATAGTTAGCAGCTGAGATTTGGCATGATTATTTCGAAGGCTGTAAGTCCAAGTGCCTGTCTGAAACATTAAAAGAAAAATCTGTCTGAGAGCTTTGGTAATATTTTTCTTCTCCTTGTTTGGAATATAAAATTATTTATAAATTTAAGGAGAATAATCATCATGATTTTTAATTTCCAATTTCACAAACTAGTAAATAGTATAAATATGAATCCCTAATTATTCAATTTGATTTCTTTATTACAGATGAACTGTCATCATTTTAATATTGGCAATATAGAAGATGTTATTTATGTTGTTTTCATTTTTAAAAAATAGAGATTGATTAAGAAAGCATATAATAGACCTACCTCTGCAATACCTGGTATTCGAAGACGAGCAGACCGAATATTTAGTTTATCTTCTTTGAAATTCGAGGTAGTGTATTTTTTTCCTTTTGGACTTTGAAGAATTATTTCTGGCTTTTGTATTGTCCATGTGACAACAAAGAAAGTATCATTTCCAACTGTACTATCCACAGGCACTGTACCATTTACCCATTTCTTCTTTGGGATATTCAAAGCTTTACTTTCCAACTGTTTGGTAAATAAAAACAAGCAGCACATAAAATCCATTTATCATAGTTAAAAAATTTCTGACTTTAGTCAGTTGAGAGTAATTTTAAATTTGTTTTTAAAATTTTAATTAAAATAACTAAGAAATTGTTTTAAAGAATTTTCCAAATAAAAAGCATATCTAATTCTAAAGAATAGAAGAATTCAAGACAAAACGTGGCTATAAGTGTTATGGAAAAGCAAATTCAGTAAGGATGTTTTTCTTCTGCATATCTGAAATATTTTTGGGCAAAAAATTATCTATTAGAGAAATGAGTTAATAATTAGGATAATAGACATTTATTACAACTGTGATAAAGAAAATAATTTTTTTTACTATACTGACCTGAAGAGCCTGTTGAAAGATGCTGCCACTTCTAGATGAAATTCTGCTGAAAGCATCAGTAAGGCCGTTTATGTCATTATGGGCATAAAAACGATGTCCTCCTAAAATCAAATTTTAAGTGGAAAAATCATATTCGTTATTTTGCTTTCATCAATACACTTTAAAATCTATTTTTAAATAGTGTTTCAAACTTACGAAAACACTTTGTTATCTTTCAGCATACCAGTGTCCCTTATGCAATCCTACATTAATAACTAAAACCTTGCTCAAAATAAGAAAGATAAGAATAAAAGAAGCTTTAAAGAATGGTCCAAATTACATAGTTTTTACACCAATCAATCATCAAATGTAAACACCTGCTGCATTGATAAAGCTGGTCTAAGCACTAAATAATGTTATAAAAATGAAATTTAAGATAGCCTTCTGAACCAGCTGCTTATTTTCTAGTGGTGTCTAAGGTACACCAAAACAATTAGAGAATTACAGTTTACAATAAAGTAAAAATTAAGTGCAGGAAATAAATGGTGTTGAAATTAATGAAAAGGGAGATTACTTACGTGTAAGGAATTAGGAAAGAACAGATTGCAGAGGTCAAGAATTAACACAAGTGACTGCCACAAATACTACAATCAATACATATTTAATGAACTGATAAATGACAGAAAGATAAGGTGAAAGTTTATTGAAGTCTCCCAGTCAGGGAGTTGTGAGGGCTGGTTTATAACGGCAGTGGTAGAAGGATTGTATAGAAAGGTGAAATACAGAAATGTTCCAAACTAAGATTTAGCAAGATTTGGTAAAGCAGGAATAGGATAGTATGCTGGAAAGAGCTTTGAATTGATACTCGGGACTCTATGGCCTTTGGCAAATCATTTGCACTGTCCAGGTTTCCATTTTGTCATCTGTAAAAGAGGATTGTCTAAATCTTTACTGTGCAATTGAGTAGTATTCTGGAATTGAGCAATAATTTTTGACTTCCAGTTGAGTAACCATGGAGAAAAGAGTTTCTGTTTGTTAGCACTGGCAGAAAGTATGTGGGGAATAAAGACAGCAAATGTTAAATAATATTAGAAAAAAAGTGGTGTATGAAGTGAAAGAAATGGAAAAGAACTTAATCTGAAGGATGAAGAATGGACAAAGATTACTTTTTAGGATAGAAAATTTTTGAGCAGATTTATAGAGAAAGAGCCCCTCGAATAAGAGAGACTAGACATTTATTTTTTATTCAAATTATATTCCACAGGTTTACTTGTCATATTTGACAGGGTCTCCAGTTCTTTCTCAGCGGTTGGTCCCAGAGCAATGGTGTGGATGATTGCACCACTTTGTTTTACCTCTTCGAAGCATGAGCTTATTTGATCATCATTCCCATCTGTTAGTAATATGATTTCAGAACCCAAAGTACTCTGGTTACTCTGGGAAATTGTCTGATAATGAAAAAGCCAGGTTATTAATTATAGAATGTCATATCTTTTAAAAAATATAACATATGTGATATATTATATATATATAAAATAATCTATGTATATTTGAGATTGAGTTTTGCTCTTGTTGCCCAGGCTGGAGTGCAATGGTGTGGTCTTGGCTCACTCCAACTTCCACCTCCTGGGTTCAAGTGATTCTCCTACCTCAGCCTCCCAAGTAGCTGGGATTACAGGCACCCAACACCATGCCTGGCTAATTTTTATGTTTTTGTAGAGATGGGATTTCACCATGTTGGCCAGGCTGGTCTCAAACTCCTGACCTCAGGCGATCCACCCACCTTGGCCTCCCAAAGTGCTGGAATTACAGGCGTGAGCCACCACGCCTGGCCCATATCTTAATATATTTAAAATAAGAATAAACCTGTTCTTCTAGTCTTTGCATCAGAGTAAGCAAAAGAAAACTCTGTGAGGTTATTTCAGGCTGAGTTGGCGTATGGAAATGAGTATAATTTACAACGGTCTTGTAAGTTTCCAAAGCTAGAATGTTAATACTTCTTCTAATCCTCTCAAATATACTCTTGCTACCAAAGAGAGGAAAAATAAGAATGTAGAGCAATGTCTGACACATAGTAAGTATTCACTATTAGCTATTATTGTTGTCAGTATTATCTAAGTGATATTTGAGGTGGAGGCAAGTGACCCAGACAGTTCTAAAAGACTGCAGACTAGATAGCATCTGGAAAGTCATGACCAAAGATGGGTGTGCAAGTTTAAATTGTGTAATACATTCTTTAAAAATTCATTTTATTTGATCACTTCTGAAGAATCTCAGAATTTCCTGGAAAAAAAACTTTGACCTGCCACAAAGACGAAAGTTCCTAATTTTTTAATTAATACAAATGTTTGTTTTTCATCTTTTACTAAGTTCTACCAAGAGATTTGGCATTAAATACCTTGAGAGTAAATTCCAGCTCTGCTATTTGCTAAGTAAAATAGGTAGTGTTTAGTTTTTCTCAAGACTTTATATGAAAGTCTATACATGTATATCATATAGTATATACATATATGTATTATATACATTTATAATAGAGTTTTATAGATAGATTAGTGTAATGATTAAGTTTATAGACTTTGGGATCAGAAAAACCAGGTTTTGAATCTTGTATCTGACAATTATTGGCTATATAATACTGAGAAAGATTCAATTAGTCTGCACTTCAGTTTCCTTATCTGCAAAATGGGCATAGTAATATTACCCAACTCACAGAGTAATGGTAAGGATAAAATAAGACCATGCATGTCTTATTTAGCATAGGCAATAACATATAATATGGTCAGTAAACGTTAGCTATATTGTTAGAATTTTGTAAGTAAAATGCTTGTGTATTGATTGGTTTTATTATATGAGTAATTAAGGGCTATTTATAGCTCTGAATGTGATTTGACACCATTAATTAGCAATAGACTTTGTGGTCAAGGTATCATAAGATACGTATAAAGGTTGAGTACAGTGGCTCACACTTGTAATCCCTGTACTTTGGGAGGCTGAGGCGGATCACCGAAGGTCAGTTCAAGAGCAGCCTGGCCAACATGATGAAACTCCATCTCTACTGAAAATACAAAAAGTTAGCCAGGCATGGTGACGGGCACCTGTAATCCCAGCTACTCAGGAGGCTTAGGCAGAAGACTGCTTGAACCTGGGAGGTGGAGTTTGCAGTGAGCTGAGACCACGCTACAGCACTCTAGCCTGGGCAAAGTAGTATTAACACCTGGACAAAAGTGAAACTCCATCTAAAAAAAAAAAGAAATATATATATAAATATATTTTAAAAATATATGAACCAATATGTGTAAACATTTTAACATATTCCCAGTGTACAGTGCTTGTCATATTTTAGAAATGAATAGACATATATAATAAGAATTATAATTATTATAATAGTAAATCTTTTTTTTTTTTTTTTGAGGTGGAGTTTCGCTCTTGTTACCCAGGCTGGAGTGCAATGGCGTGATCTCGGCTCACCGCAACCTCCGCCTCCTGGGCTCAGGCAATTCTCCTGCCTCAGCCTCCTGAGTAGCTGGGATTACAGGCACGAGCCATCATGACCAGCTAATTTTTTTTGTATTTTTAGTAGAGACGGGGTTTCACCATGTTGACCAGGCTGGTCTCGATCTCTCGACCTCGTGATCCACCCGCCTCGGCCTCCCAAAGTGCTGGGATTACAGACTTGAGCCACCGTGCGCGTAAATCTTTCTTAAGCAATTATTTATCTTACATAATTCCCACAATAAATGAGATAGGTACTATTATAATCCACATTATCTCTGTTGAGGAAGCAGATGTTGAATTGAATTAGTTACTCAAGGTCATTTAATTTAGCTAACGTATATCAGAGCCAAGATCCCAAGTTTGTCATCATCCAGGGCCTGCCTTCTTAAACTAACACATTTCATCAGAAATAGACACTATGAGGAAAGTTGAGATGTAGTATTAATCAGTGGCCTGGATAAGACTAGCAATTTCCATTTTGAGGCAAGGAGAGGTCAGCGAAGGAAGTAGTTTTCTGTTTTTGTGACTTAAAACATGACAATAAATAGACTTAAATGAAAGTTAGGTTAGAAGGAATTCAGATGAATACTGGAGGCAATTGGGTATAGTGCTCAAAGAGTGCTCCCAATTTTTTGAGTTCACAATTTTAATTATAATTATATTAAACTTTAATCTATGATTGTTAGGTTTGGTATTATAGTGCTTAACAGCTAACTCTATCTTTATAATTATTTTTTCTTTTCTTTTCTTTTTTTTTTTTAGTCAGGTCTTGCTCTGTAGCCCAGGCTGGAGTGCAGTGACGTGATCACGGCTCCTTGCAATCTCCGCCTCTGGAGCTCAAGCAATCTTCCCACCTCAGCCCCACAAGTAGCTGGGGCTACAGGCGCAGGCCAGGATACCTGGCTGATTTTTAGAGGCAAGTTTTCCCAATGCTGGCCAGGCTGGTCTACTCTTGAGCTCAAGCGATCCACCTGCCTCAGACCCCCAAAGTGCTGGGATGCAGGTGTGACCTGCTGTATCCAGCTTATTTTTATGATTATTAAATCTTTTAATTTAAAAAAATTTTAATTTTTAAAATGTATTTTTAATTTTTCTGAGATGGAGTCTCACTCTGTTGCCCAGGCTGGAGTTCAATGGCCAGATCTTGGCTCACTGCAATCTCCACCGCTTGGGTTCAAGTGATTCTCCTGCCTCAGCCTCCAGAGTAGCTGGGATTACAGGCCTGCACTACCATGCCCAGCTAAGTTTTATTTTCTAGTACAGACGGGGTTTCATCATGTTGGTCAGGCTGGTCTCAAACTCCTGACCTCAGGTGATCCACTTTCCTCAGCCTCCCAAAGTGCTGGGATTACAAGCATGAGCCACCATGCGGCCTCTTTGTGATTTTTAAATGTCAATTTATCTTGATAAACTGGGGCTTTCCTTATCCATCATATGGAAATGTTACTGATTTCTCTCTTCCATATTCCTCTTAGTGGCATTATTTTCTTCTCCTTGACACTTAGACTGTGGGAGTGTTAGCGAAATGGGGAGCTCCCCAATAAAATCATAATTGTGTGCAGACTGAAAAATTTCCCCCTCGCTTAACGACTCCCCAGTGCAACTTAGCACCTCAGGAGTATGTCATTGGAATAGCCATACTCAGAGAGGGTCTAGCTGTAAACAGATAGTAAGAGAAGCTATATGTTTTCTTCCCATAAATGATTTACCTTGATCAGGTCACAATATTATTAAATGAGGAGCCCATGAACTCATGCCCTTTGTTCAAAGGTAATTGGAGAAAATTAAAAGCAATAGAAATTGGCAAATTATATTTTAAAAATATTTTTATTTTACCTGAAATCCTGCTTTGAGTCCGTTACAAATTGAAGTGCCACCATCAGGCTCTTGAGGCAGATTTGCAGTGATCTTTTGGTAAGTGTTATCATCAGTTATTTCTGTGAGATTATTTTGGATTTGAGCCCTACTGTCAAATGTGACCATCCCAACGAAGGACCCTTTTTCAATAATTTGAATCAAGTACAGTTCTGCTGCTTGATTCATTCGAAAGAGACGGTCTTCCTGTAAGAAAAAGATGTGTGAATAACTCACAAGACTCTCCAAATCTTGAGAGATTAATGAACAAATCATTTATGGGCCATAGATCATGATAATAATTGATTGGTTGTATTTTAAAATTTAGCTTCTTCATTTTATTTAAAAATTTTAAAGAAAATTTTAAAAAATCAGGTTTACTTGGAAAAGCCTTGACAGTCTATACATTTTTATTTATTTACCCTAAAGAAATAATCTTAAAAATACATAAAAAATATTCATTTAAATAATAACAACTGAAAATCTCCCAACTGTCCAACAACAGGGGATTGCTTGATTAAATTATAGTATGGGCATATTATATAACCACTAAAATTATGTCATGGAATCATTTATTTCATGGGAAGTTTTGAAGGTATATTAAGTAAAAAAATCAGATTATGAAACATTGTATAAAATATATTTTTGAGGAGGACAAACAAATACATTAGCAAAGAAAACACTACAGTGTTATATTTCCGGTGACAGAATTATGGATGATTTTTATTTTTTTTCTTCCACTATAATTTTTCGAATTAGAATTAAAAGTTAAGGAATATAAATTATTTATAATCCAATAACCTTAATATAACAACATTTTTTTTGAGATAGAGTCTCGCTCTGTCACCCAGGCTGGAGTGCAGTGGGACAATCTCGGTTCACTTCAACCTCCAGTGAGGTTGCAATCAGGTTCAAGCGATTTTCCTGCCTCAGCCTCCCAAGTAACTAGGATTACAGATGAGCGTCACCACACCAGTTAATTTTTGTCTTTTTAGTAGAGATGGGGTTTCATCATGTTGGCCAGGCTGGTCTTGAATTCCTGACCTCAGGTGATCCACCCGCCTCAGCCACCCAAAGTGCTTAGAGACACGAGCTACCGTGCCTGGCCTACAACATTTTTATTTTGGCATATTGCCTTTTAGTACTTATCTATATAAAATTATGTACTAAAATTTATGAACTGTAAATACATATGTATGTTTGTTACTAGAACTAAACCTAAGATTATATTTCCATCAGCTTAAATACTTAATACTGATATTTCTAGTAGCTTAAATACTTAAGTAATTTAAGACAGTTAACTAAAAACTATCTTACTGCAGCCATGCTTCCAGATTTATCAAGTACCAAACAGACTACACGCTGTTTGGACCTGAGCAATGAAAATGTAGGATGAGGTGGTGACTTTATTTCTGTCATGGGAGATAAGTGCTGAAAATCTTCAGAGCGCATGATTATATCCCATGTGCTTTTGTGATTGCACATTTTGTTATGTAGGTTTGGAGCTTCTGTATTGTGTGTTTTTTTAGTACAAAATTCAGTCACCTGGAAAAAAAATCAATTAGAAGACAAGATTACAATAACTTGTGAGGCATCAAATATGTAGTTATCTGTCATATATATTCTCCACAGATTTTATCTCCTGATAGTTAAAAACTACTTTATAATCTAACATTTTGACATCCATTTTGCATAGTTGAATGGAACAGAAGCAAGGTAAAGCTATCAACATGTACTGGTAAAAAGTTTTGGTGATACTTTTGGTTATAGATAGATATATCAATGGGAGATTGTGGCAGCTGGCATGACTGCTTAAGTTAACTTCTTATTTTCCCTTCTAAATTTGGGGGAGCTCAAACCTTGAATTAAGTTTGAGGAAAAAGGGACAGGACTTGTGATAATTTCTAGCTACCCCCTAAAAATGATATAGAGAAGATGGCCTTCTTTAACTGTCTAGGTATGTTCCATATATTCATAGTTGATCAAAAAACTTGAAGACAGCTATTCTACAACCTGGATTACTATTGGCTCTGGCAAATTTCGACATAGATAAAGTAATACCCCTGAAAAAGTAATGAAAGTATAGGGAGAAAATGAGGAAATGTAATTATTTCTCTTTTAGAGGCAAGTGGTGAATTGTATCCAGTAATTCTGCCAATGAATATTTTGTTACTATAGAACAGATGTCCCCAAACTTTTTACACAGGGGGCCAGTTCACTGTCCCTCAGACCGTTGGAGGGCCTCCACATACTGTGCTCCTCTCACTGACCACCAATGAAAGAGGTGCCCCTTCCTGAAGTGTGGCGGGGGGCTGAATAAATGGTCTCATGGGGCTGCACGCGGCCCACGGGCCATAGTTTGAGGACATCTGCTATAGAATCTGTAAATATTTTTAAAGTTTTAAAACGTAGTAACTTGGAAAAATGGTCTCACAAACTAGGGTGGTCTTTAAGAAGGAATTCATCTTGCTACTGCAAGATGAGCCTCAGCTTACAAGAATATTTTTAGTAGTGCCATTTTATTATTTTAATACCCTTCCAATGTACAATCTTCAGATATAAGCTCAGAATTAGAGGAACTAAATCATTACATTTGAATACCCTTTATCTAAGGTTTTTTTTTTTTTTTTTTTTTTTTTTTTTTTTTTGACAATCTTGGCTCACTGCAACCTCTGACTCCCTGGTTTAAGCAATTCTGTTGCCTCAGCCTCCCGAGTAGCTGGAACAACAGGCAGGCAAAACCATACCCAGTTAACTTTTGTGTTTTTAATAGAGATGGGATTTCACCATGTTGGCCATGATAGTCACTATCTCTTGACCTTGTGATCTGCCCACCTCAGCCTCCCAAAGTGCTGGGATTACAGGTATGAGCCACCTTGTGCAGCTTATCTAAGTTTTGTCTTTGTTTTGTTTCTGATATGGCTGATACATTTACCAAATGGGGTTACATTGGATGGGAGAAAAATGTAGTTTGCAATCAAAGCAGTTATTCATAACCAAGTCTTGCTGATATGAAATGCATATCAAACCTGGTTTCTCTTTCCTCTACCCCTGTGCCTTTATTTGGGCCTCTTACCTACCTATTGCCATGGCCTCCAACTGGTCTCCCTTGCCTCCACTATCATCTCACTCTATCTCATCCTTCACAATTAGTAGAATTACCTTCCTGAAATAATTAAACTAATAACATCACCAGTCTAAAACTGAGAGTATAAAACTCAAACACCTTAGCTCTGTATGTCCCCATTTTTTGTTTCAACCTCATTTTCTGCCTCTTACTCACCAAGTATTCTTTGCTTCTACCATACTGGATTTCTTTATATACTTAGAGTATGCCAGAAATTTTCATTAGGGTTTTTCCTAACCCAAATGGTAATTTTGTACAAATCAGAAAAAAGCTTCACTTTTTCAAGTTCTTTTACTGTTATCTGCCAGATAATTGTTCTAATAAATGTTAAAATCTTGAATGACCATGATGCAAACCATTTAGGCAATGTTGAACTTCCACGATCATGCACATCATGCACTTCATGCATCCCTGCCTTATTCCACTCTTTGCTTTTGTAAATCTGTTTATTCGTATAGAATACTCTTCCCCTTCTTGCTTTGGCAAATACATACTCACTTTTCTCAAATCCTAGCTCACAACTTACTGTTCAGAAACTGTATTCTGACCTCCATTTGACAATGGTTACTGCTTCATGAAACTTGGTTCATATCTCTGTATGTCTTCCCACTTAATAATATATATTTATTTTATCATATCTCTTTCTCACTAAACTGAGTTCCTGAAGAACAGTCATCTATAATTATATATGTGTTTACAGCTTTTAATGTAGTAAATTCTAGGCATAAAGTAAGAATAATAAATGATAAGGAAACAAAATCATAAAGTTGACTATTCAATGTATCAGATCATATCTTTCCTAGCTCTGAATTTATGCCCTCAGTACAGATACTATGCAATATATTTATGTTGTGATAATTAGAAAGTTAGTGTTATTCTGGAAATGTAACCATTTTATCTCGGGGCCATGTCTTATATAATTAGTTGCCCTCCATATTTCAGCTCCATAATAATCTTCATTATTATTTATGTCCCAATTGGCAGCGTGAGTTAGCTCCTGATAGTCAAATGTTTTTGGAATTTATGTTGTGGATCAGGCAGTACATACAGTATTCCCATTATCCTCTTGTGTCACATGATTTGATATCTATTTGTATGCATAACTCTTTGGCTAGCCTTTGTTGCTCCAGATTCCATAGATTAAAGGGAATGTTCCTGACTCATGTGTCAACTGTAGTCAAGCCTTTTATCATTAATGCCCAAGGGTCCAAAGGAATTTTAAATTTTATCAGAGATAATAGGCCTTTGTAAACAAACCTCTGCCTATAGAAGTATTTTGGTATTGGCATATTAAAATACGAATTACTACCAACAAATACTTCTGTAGAAGAGGTTTGCAAAAGTATATGGCATATACCTTTGAAAATTTGGTGTATGAAAATTTGCTTCTTTGAAATAAGTTAGTCTCACTATTTAGAGGTAGTGTACTTTGTTTTGATTTGTTGTTTTTGATAACTTTCATATATTCCACATTTTAAAATATTTTTATGTGTTTAGAAATGTTTATTAGGTAAGTACAATATGTTTGTATTAATTAATATTAGGGTTGTTCAGGGGAAGAAACAATTGGTTACTTTTCAAATATTTAATACATTTAAAAAATTAAAAATTTAGTTTATTTTCAACTTGTGCTAAATGCTATGATAATACTTTATGTTAGCCCTTGTAAACCCAACATGAATGACTATGTGAAGTAGGAATTATGATTCCCATATAAAAGATAAGAGAACTAAATCTCAGATTTAGCAGTTTTCCCACAGTGGACACAGCTTTAAAATGACAGGCTGGATTTCAATGTGAGGTCTATCTGACTCCAAGGTACCTATTCTTATGCACTAAGCTTTTTATATTTAAACCAGATGTTTCAGGTCAAACATTAGTTTTCAACTTTTTTGTGGTGTGTTATTATTTAATTGGCTAGACACATTGGTAATTGTGAATTTTTTTTTTAAGTCTGTTCAGTGGAGAAAGAGTGTTGTTGGTTTTTAAAATATCAGTTTGCTTGGTATGCGTTAGTGTGAAGGTAATAGAAAATCTGAAATGTCAATCCTTTTCAAAGCTGCATTATAAATTACTTTATAAAAGTAGTATGGCTAATACTTAGAAAAGGAATTAAAAGTAAGGTTGTAACTCTGTACAGAAGTCTATGGAAGTCAGTGAGGGAAGAGATGTGTTCTAAGAATTTGTGTGACTCCAATGAGAGGGATACAATTCTACATTTGAACGAAAGAAATAGGTTAATAAGAAAAGATAGGGTAATTTCCAGAGACACCCAGATACGTGCTGGATAAAATGACCTCTAATTAATTGCCTGAGTAATTTCCTGCCTTTATACACATAATTTCACAGTAGATAATCCAGCTTCTCTAATTATTATTATTTTTTCCTAAGGATTCTTTGAGAGACTGGGAAAAAAAGGTACTTACAGAATCAAGATTTTGCATAAACATAATGGATTCCTTGGCAATCTGGGATCTGTTTGGGATAAATACACAATTTGCTTCATACAGCCCCGTCTTTGAGTCACGTCTGCATGGTCGTGTCATGCAGCGGCTCTTCTTGCAGTTCCGAACCACGTTAGCACCAGTAATATGAGTGGAACATCTACGATGAAAGAATTTATATATATACATATATATATATATATATATATATATACACACACATATATATATATACATGAAAATTCATGGCAAATTATGAATGAAGACCAATATCCTAAAATCTTTCCTTCAGTGACAACTGCCATAGATCATGTACCAAACATTACATTTTGACAAAAACAGGCACAATATTCTATCTCTGTCATCAATTTTAATAGAAACAATGTCAGTTCATATTTATTAAACATTGATTGCAGCTGGGTGCGGTGGCTCAAGCCTGTAATCCCAACACTTTGGGAGGCTGAGGCGGGTGGATCACGAGGTCAAGAGATCGAGACCATCCTGGTCAACATGGTGAAACCCTGTCTCTACTAAAAATACAAAACATTAGCGGGGCATGGTGGCTCGTGCCTGTAATCCCAGCTACTCAGGAGGCTGAGGCAGGAGAATTGCCTGAACCCAGGAGGCAGAGGTTGCGGTGAGCCGAGATCGTGCCATTGCACTCCAGCCTAGGTAACGAGCGAAACTCCGTCTCAAAAAAAAAAAACAAACAAAAAAACCAAAAAAACCAAAAAAAAAAAACCATTGATTGGTCATTGTGATCAATAAATCTATTATCCTTGTGACTTTGAACTAAAGATGATAATTCCTAATCATAGGGGTGTTGTAAAGATTAGGTGAGTTATAAGGTACAGCAAAATTGCTTATTAATAGGGGAGGGAAAGTCAATATTATGCTTAAAATCCCTCTTCAATTTCTGTATGTGGTATTCACTGTTTTGTGTTTATAGCATTTTGTAATTTATATTTTGAGAACCACTTCACTAAACTGGTGGAAAAAATAAAAATAAACCCTGCATGGAAAGGCTTAGTGCATTCAAACCATTTGGTCTTTGTAGAAAAAAAAGACCTATGCCTATGTCAAGTCCCTGGCAGGGAAAGAGGTGCAGAATACAGGGAAAGGATTCTAAAGAGGTTCTGTTTATATGCAGGATATCCTCCCATTCTGTGTTGATATTAAACTTCATAATATTAATCCATTTTAATGACTTTGTATTGCAAGGATTTAGGGACATGGTGAGTCATATCTTCCCAGAAGGTTAGTTCTTGAGTAAGCCTAAAAATTAAACTTACATATGATGAGACTTCACTGTCTGAAAGTGCCTGACACACAGTAGGAACTCAATAAATATTTCAGATACTTGTTTTTTTTTTTAAATTGTATTTGGGTTCTGTGGTACGTGTGCATATCCTGCATCCTGCAGGATTGTTGCATAGGTACATACATGCCATGGTGGTTTGCTGTCTCCATCCATCCCCACTACTCCCTGTCATCTATATCAGGCATTTCTCCTGATGTTATCCCTCCCCATCCTCCCCGCCTCCCCCTGCTGTTCCCTCCCTCCCCTCTCCTCCACCCTCAAAACCTAGCCCTGTGAGTGTTGTTCCCTTCCCTGGGCTCAGGTGTTCTCATTGTTCATCACTTGCCTATGAGTGGAGACATGTGGTGTTTGATTTTCTGTTCTATCAGTTTGCTGAGAATGATGGTTTCCAGGTTCATCCATGTCTCTACAAAGAACATGAACTCATCATTTTTTATGGCTGCATAGTATTCCATTGTATATGTGTGCCACATTTTTTTTGTCCAGTCTATCATCGATGGGCATTTGGGTTGGTTCCAGGTCTTTGCTATTGTAAACAGCGCTGCAATGAAAATATGTGTCCATGTGTCTTTATGATAGAATGATTTATAATCCTTTGAGTATATACCTAGGATTGGGGGATTGCTGGGTCAAATAGAATTTCTATTTCTAGGTCCTTGAGGAACTGCCACACTGTCTTCCACAATGGTTGAACTAATTTACACTCCCACCAACAGTGTAAAAGTGTTCCTATTTCTCTACATCCTCTCCAGCATCTGTTGTCTCCAGATTTTTTAATGATCGCCATTCTAACAGGCACGAGATAGTATCTCAATGTGGTTTTGATTTGCATTTCTCTAATGACCAATGATGATGAGCATTTTTTCATGTTTGTGGTCAGCATATTTTTCTTCTTTTGAACAATATCTGTTCATATCCTTCACCCACTTTTGAATGGTTTTTTTTTTTTCTTGTAAATCTGCTTCAGTTCTTTGTAGATTCTGGATATTAGCCCTTTGTCTGATGGGTAGATTGTGAAAATTTTTTTCCATTCTGCTGGTTGCCAGTTTACTCTAATGGTTCCTTCTTTTGCTGTGCAGAAGCTCTTAAGTTTAATTAGGTCCCATTTGTCTATTTTGGCTTTTGTTGCCATTGCCTTTGGTGTTTTAATCATGAAGTCCTTGCCTATGCCTGTGTCCTGAATGATTTTGCCTAGGCTTTGTTCTAGGGTTTTTATGGTGTTAGGTCTTATGTTTAAATCTTTAATCCATCTGGAGTTAATTTTTGCATAAGGTGTGAGGAAGGGATCCAATTTCAGCTTCCTGCATATGGCTAGCCAGTTTCCCCAACACCATTTATTAAACAGGGAATCCTTTCCCCATTGCTTGTTTTTGTCAGGTTTGTCAAAGATTAGATGGTTGTAGATGTCTGGCGTTGCTTCCGAGGCCTCTGTTGTGTACAATTGGTCTATATCTCTGTTTTAGTACCAGTACCATGCTGTTTTGATTACTGTAGCCTTGTAGTGTAGTTTGAAGTCAGGTAGCATGATGCCTCCAGCTTTGTTTTTTTTGCTTATAATTGTCTTGGCTATGTGGGCTCTTTTTGGTTCCATATGAAGTTTAAAGTGGTTTTTTACAGTTCTGTGCAGAAGGTCAATGGTAGCTTGATGGGGATAGCATTGAATCTTTAAATTACTTTGGGCAGTATGGCCATTTTCACGATATTGATTCTTCCTAACCATGCACATGGAATGTTTTTCCATCTGTTTGTGTCCTCTCTTATTTCCTTGATCAGTGGTTTGTAGTTCTCCTTGAAGAGATCTTTAACTCCTTTGTTAATTGTATTCCTAGGTATTTTATTCTCTTTGTAGCAATTGTAAATGGGAGTTTTCTCATGATTTGGCTCTGTGTTTGTCTGTTATTGTTGTATAGGAATGCTTGTGATTTCTGCACATTGATTTTTGTATCCCGAGACTTTGCTGAAGTTGCTTAGCAGCTTAAGGAGGTTTTGGGCTGAGACTATGGGGTCTTCAAAATATACATTCAAGTCATCTGCAAATAGGGACAATTCGACTTCTTCTTTTCCTAATTGAATGTGTTTTATTTCTTTTTCTTGCCTAATTGCTCTGGCTAGAACTTCCAATACTATATTGAATAGGAGTGGTGAGAGAGGGCATCCTTGTCTAGTGCCAATTTTTAAAGGGAATGCTTCTAATTTTTGCCCACTCAGTATAATATTGGTTGTGGGTTTGTCATAAATAGTTTTTATTGTTTTGAGATATATTCCATCAATTCCTAGTTTATTGAGAGTTTTTAGCATAAGGTCTCTTGAATTTTCTTGAAGGCCTTCTCTGCATCTATTGAGATAATCATGTGGTTTTTGTCTTTGGTTCTGTTTATGTGGTGAATTACATTTATAGATTTGCATATTTTGAACCAGCCTTGTATACCTGGGATGAAGCCTACTTGGTGGTGATGAATAAGCTTTTTGGTGTGCTGTGAATTTGGTTTGCCAGTATTTTATTGAAGATTTTTGCATCAATGCTCATCATGGATATTGATTGGCCTGTAGTTTTCTTTTTTAGTTGTGTCTCTGCCAGATTTTGGTATCAGGATGGTGTTGGTCTCATAGAAAGAGTTAGGGAGGATTCCCTCTTTTGTATTGTTTGGAATCGTTTCAACAGGAATGAGCTCCCCTTTGTATGTCTGGTAGAATTCAGCTGTAAACCCATCTGGACCTGCACATTTTCTGGTCGGTAGGCCAAAAATGTTATTGTTTTATTCAGGGTTTCAATTTCTTCTTGGCTTAGTCTTGGGAGTGTGCAAGTGTCCAGGAGTTTATCCATTTCTTCCACATTAACTGGCTTATTGCATAGAGTTGTTTGTAGTAATCTCTGATGGTAGTTTGTATTTCTGAGGAATCAGTGGTGATCTCCCATTTATCATTTTTTATTGCATGTATTAGATTCTTCTCTCTTTTCTTTTTTATTAGTCTAGCTAGTGGTCTGTTTATTTTGTTGGTCTTTAAAAAAAAAAGCCAGTTCCTGGATTTATTGATTTTTTTTGAAGGGATTTTTGTGTCTCTATCTCCTTTAGTTCTGCTCTCATCTTAGTTATTTCTTGACTTCTGCTTGCTTTTGAGTTTTTTAATCTTGCTCCTCTAGCTCTTTCAATTTTGATGATATGGTGTCAATTTTAGATATTTCTTTGTTTCTCATGTGGGCATTTATTCCTACAAATTTCCCTCTAGACACTGCTTTAAATATGTCCCATAGGATCTGGTACATTGTGTCTTCATTCTCACTGGTTTCAAAGAACATTTTTATTTCTGTCTTTATTTCATTGTTTATCCATTCGTCATTCAGGAGCAAGTTGTTCAGTTTCCATGTGATTGCGCGGTTTTGAGTGATTTTCTTAATCCTGAGTTCTAATTTGATTGCACTGTGGTCTGAGAGACTGTTATGATTTCCATTCTTTTGCATTTGCTGAGGAGTGACTTACTTCCAATTATGTGGTCAAATTTTGGGGAAAGTGCAATGTGGTGCTGAGAAGAATGTGTATTCAGTGGATTTGGGGTGGAGTGTCCTGGAATGTCTATTGGGTCCACTTGGTCCAAATCTGCATTCAAGTCCTGTATATCCTTGTTGACTTTCTGTCTCGTTGCTCTGTCCAATATTGTCAGTGAAGTGTTAAAGTCTCTCACTATTATTGTGTGGGAGTCTAAGTCTCTTTGTAGGTCTTTAAGAACTTGCTTTATGTATCTGGGTGCTCCTGCATTGGGTGCATAAATATTTAGGATAGTAAGCTCGTCTTGTTGCATTGATCCCTTTACCATTATATAATGCCCTTGTCTCTTTTGATCTTTGTTGGTTTAAAGTCTGTTTTCTTTTATCAGAGACTAGGATTGCTACCCCTGCTTTTTTTGGCTCTCCATTTACTTGGTAAATCTTCTTCCATCCCTTTATTTTGAGTCTATGTGAGTCTTTGCATGTGAGATGGGTCTCCTGAATACAGCACACTGCTGGGTCTTGACTTTTTATCCAGTTTGCCAGTCTGTGTCTTTTGATTGGGGCATTTAGGCCATTTACATTCAACATTAATATTGTTATGTTTGAATTCGATCCTGACATTTTCTTACTGGCTGGTTGTTTTGCCTGTTAATTGACATGGCTCCTTCATTGTGTCATTGTTCTTTACCATTTGGTACGTTTTGCAGTGGCTGGTACTGCTTGTTCCTTTCCCTGTTTAGTACTTCTTTCAGTAGCTCCTGTAAGGCAGGTCTTGTAGCGATGAAATCTCTCAGCAATTGCTTGTTGATAAAGGATTTTATATCTTCTTTACTTATGAAGCTTAGTTTGGCTGGATATGAAATTCTGCTTTGAAAGTTCTTTTCTTTAAGGATGTTGAATATTGGCCCACACTTCCTTCTGGCTTGCAGAGTTTCTGCCAAGAGATCCACTGTGTCTGACGGTGTTTCCTTTGTGGGTGACTCGACCTTTCTCTCTGGCTGCCCTTAGGATTTTTTTCCTTCATTTCAACCCTGGCCTGACAACTGTGTGCCTACGTGTTGCTCTTCTTGAGGAATATCTTTGTGGTGTTCTCTGTATTTCCTGGATTTGAATGTTGGCCTGTCTTGTTAGATTGGGAAAGTTCTGTTGGATAACATCTTGAAGAGTGTTTTCCAACTTGGATTCATTCTCCCTTTCACATTCAGGTATGCCTATAAAATGTAGATAAGGTTTTTTTCACATAATTCCATAGTTCTTGGAGGCTTTGTTCATTTTTTTCACTCTTTCTTCTCTAATCTTGCTTTCTCATTTCATTTCATTGATTTGATCTTCTATCGCTGATGTCCTTTCTTCTGCTTGATTAATTCAGCTGTTGAAGCTTGTGTATGCCGCATGAAGTTTTCGTGCTGTGTTTTTCAGCTCCATCAAGTTGTGTATGTTCTTCTCTAAGCTGGTTATTCTAGTTAGCATTTTGTCTAACCTTTTTTCAAGGTTCTTAGTTTCTTTGCATTGGGTTAAAACATGGTCTTTTAACTCAGAGAAGTTTGTTATTACCCACCTTCTGAAGCCTGCTTCTGTCAATTTGTCAGATTCATTCTCTGTCCTTTTTTGTTCCCTTGATGGTGAGGAGTTGTGATCCCTGGGAGGAGGAGGCGTTCTGTTCTTTGATGATTTCGTCCTTTTTGGGCTGTTTTTTTTCCCCCATCTTCGTGGATTTATCACCCTTTAATCTTTGAAGTTGGTGATTTCAGGAGGAGTCTCCGAGTGACTTTTTTTCTGTTGAGGTTGGAGCTGTATCTTTTTTGGCCTGTAGAGGGTGTTGCTGGGCTCTCTTGGGTTCAGTCAGGTTGTTGGGTGGGTGGTCCTTCCCTGGAGTTTGTTTGCAGGTGAGATTTGCCCTGCCTTCCCAATGGTGTCTCTCCTTCCCCAGCTGGGCCTTCCTGGTTGGGGTCAAGCTGGTGTATTTGCTGCCTAGCTCTCTAGCTGGGGCTTCAGTTTGAATACTGTGGAGGTGGGGCCTGCCAGGCCTTATGGTCTGTTTCCCTGTTTTCAACTCTGCCTCCCTCTGTAGGACGGTCGTCCTGCTGGCGTTAGTCCAAACTCTCGCCCAGGTCCTTGCGACAGCTTGCCGCACTGGCGGTTACTGCCCCTCAGATTTACATTGACTACCCACAGCACCCCACAGTCTGGCAGGGCTGTCTTGGACTGCGGGTTGCAGGAGGGATACGGTAAGCACATGTTTTCAGTTGGGCACTTGTCCCACCCTGTCTTGATTTGCCCCCCTGGGCTGCTTTGCCTTGCACAGAAACGAACCCAGCACCTCCTTTGGAATGGTGAAGTCCTCTAACCCTCTGTATCTCATTCGCTGGGAGCTGCATTCTGGTGCTGACTTCTCTCAGCCATCTTGGTGCCCCCCTGGATACTTGCTTTTACTAATATATCTATTTTTATGACTGATTATAAGGAAATTCATTTATTTTTAATGAATTTATAAAAAATTTATTTGATACATTCTTTGTTTAGCTTTTACTTTATGCCAGGTCAAAGACCAGAGAAAAAAAATGCAGTTCTTAAGAATTTTAAAGTCTAATGGGGAAAATAAAATTGTATAGACAATTACTGCACAGTGACAGAAGTGTGAGAGAAGCCCACACATGCTGTGAGAGCACTCTTAAGGGAATTTAAACACAAATGGAGGGAGAGGAAAGACATTTAAGTAAGAAATATTTAAACTGAGTCTTAAAGGATGAACAGGCATTATTTGAGTAAGGGAGGAGTTGTGTGGGATGAGGTTGAGAGAAATGAGTGCCCTGCACTGAGAGAAGCGCAGTCTGTGTGAAAATCTCCAGGCAGCTTAGCAGACATCAAACGAACAACACGGTGGAGACAAGGAGGGGCATTTTTTCCATTACTCCTCTTTCCTTGAATACATTTTTTTTTTAATCTCAAAGACTTATTTCCTATTACATTAGCTTCCATTGTTCTTCAATATTCTTTAAATATTCCATGTGGTTGATATTTTTAGCTAAATTTAAACATCTTATCTATTCATAATAGTGCCTGTGGAACCTAGAATTATATTTTTAAAAAATCAATTTACTACCTTATCCTTATGAAAAGTACTTTCTTTAAGATCAGGATTAAATCAAAAGTATAATATTATATTTACAAAGAAGCTCTAGCAGCTTAACTGATTTCAATGAAACAGATTTATCTTAAAAAAGTGATGAACCAAGTGAAACAAGAGTGGGTAGAGTTGAACACCTATTCTCAGATATCTTGGGGTTTAGCCTACAGCTTTTTCCTTTCTCCTCTGCCCATAACATGTTTTAGCACAGTCCCTGTGAATATTGAAATTGTTTTCTGTTTCTGATTGATCTTGATGCCAAGGTAGAATCTCTAGAATTAATTGGAGACATACATGATGGGGCAGATGGGATATTGCAATGAACTATATAAACATTCTCAGGTAGTTACCTGAGATAGCCTTTCTTTGCCTAGCATAGAAAATTAGTGAGTCATAAGTAAAATTTCTGAAAACAGATTTGTTCAATATAATGATACCTTGTTGCTTCAATAGTGTTTCTTCTGGAAATATAGAATGGCCGGTCCTCATTGTACTCATCAAATATTCCCCACCGGAGATGGGCCCACTCATGGACAAATACTCTGCCTGTGAGAAATACTGCCATTTGTAAATTTAAAATTACAATATTTTAAGACAATTTTCTTATATTTCTCTTTAACCTCTCCCCAACCTAATTGAGTCAAGGTACTCCAGACATTGATGCCTTTTATTAGGTTAAAAAAGTTGAAATTAGTGCCAATAAATGACTCATTTTGTTATTACACACACATACACACACACACACACGCACACACACACGCCACACAGAGATATAATTAAGAACATAACTAGCATATTTTCAAGTAAAGGTATTACTTAATACCTATTTTTCTCTTCTTAATTTTGTTTTCTTAAATGATGAGATCTTGTTCTTGCTCTGTTGCCCAGGTTGGAGTACAGCGGCTTGATCATAGCTCACTGCAGCCTCAAGCTCCTAGCCTCAAGCAATCTTCCTGCGTTCACCTCTTAAGTAGCTGGGACTACAGGTATGTGCTACAATGCCTGGCTAGTTTTTAAAATTTACTTTTAGCTTTTTAGAGACTGGGGGCTCTACTCTGTTGTCCAGGCTGGTCTCTAACTCCTGAGTGCAAGTGATCCTCCTACCTCAGTCTCCTGAGTTGCTGGGATAAGTGTCAGCCACTGTGCCTGGCTTCTTTAAAAATTGTTTAAAATACCATTAAACATAGTGTTCTTTTTTATCACCAGTGGAAATAAGAACAGAAGCACATCATAGATATCTCTACCTCGAGGTCCATAGATAAGCAAATTACTATGCGACAAGAAGTTTGGAGTAAAATGTATATATTGTCCTTTTTCTCCACATTGTCCATATTGAAGTGTATAGGGATCATCTCCGTATTTCAGAGAAGGATCAGCAACTATGACATCTGCCTAAAAAGCAAAAGAACAAACAAAAACAAATTTCAAGAGGAACAGAAACAAGAGATTTTAGAAAAAGGACTTCTATTCATATCCATTACAAAAAGTTATATTACTAATTTAATTACTAAATTAGTGATTAGTAATTAATAAAGAATTACAAATACTGAGTTTTTAAAAGCACAGGAGGAAAGAAGCAGTTTAGGAGTTAGAAGAAATAGCCTACCTGGTCATATGATTCTTGTTTTGGCATTAAGTACTCAGGCTTTGATTTCCAGGTCATTGGAATTAAAATGCTTACATTCCTGAAATAAGCTCTTCGTTTGGTGGCATAAAACAGATAAGTAGAAGCTTCAGTTACCATTGCCTGACAAAATTTAAAATACCTTGTGGTCATAATTTCACAGTGAAATGAACACAAAAGTACATATATAACTAGATGAAGCAAATCTAAGCCTCCTTTCCTCAAACATTTTGGGAAAACTAACTGAAAAATAGATTGAATTTTTTCTACATCTCTGCAGTCTGTAAACTCCTTATTTTCATATGCTCAAAAACCATCTTTTAAAATATGTCACCTATCCAGGCCTGCATTCAGCATGATGGGTTGGAGATGGAAATGAGGGTGCTGGGTGAGATGTCAAAGTGATTTAAGACTGGGAGCCTCTTAATGTTAATAACAAAGATTTTAAAGTTGTTTATTTAATCAAACAGAGGTGTTTGATTGTTTAAAGAAATTGAGAGTTTAAAGTTTGGTAGATTATTATAATTGATGTCAATTGAAAAAAAATTTTGCTAGATTTATTTTGAGTTATCTTCTCAGATGGAGTGTGTTCATAAAAAGTAAAGTTTTACCAAGTCGAAATGAAAATAGAAATACATAGGTCTCATTGGCTTCAGGTCCCAGTTTTGCCATTTGTGAGATTGTACAAATCACTTCATTTATACAAGGGTAATAATTCTTGTTTTTGAATTCCTCATGGGATATTGGGAGGATCAAAGAAGATAGTATATATTAAAGTAATGTATACAATAAAGTGATTTTTATTATACTGAATAATGCAAATAAGGAAGATATATTAATTTAAAATGTAAAATAAGATAGATATTATTTTTTACTTTTTCAGAGTTTGAAAAAGTATGAACAACTGAAAAACTGTGTAGGATAAAACTCTAGGGCTTACGTGTAGACTGATTAGCTAAACTTTTTAAAAGTAACTTTATAAAAATAAAATTTGAGAATAATTTTCTACTTGCTGTAATGTCTTTCTGTTAGGTTAACTAGTTGAAAAAAATATTAGGTCAGCCTTTTAATGATTCATTGGATAATGACCAATAGTATTAACATATAATAAAAACATATTTAAACTAAGCAGGTATTAATCTGACAGTTTAAATGCTATATAAATGATAACTACTGTTGAAGCAATTTTGGAAAGTTATCACTCTATGAATATATATACCAGGGCACCAAGAGTTGAAAATACTTACTGAAATAAAAATACGTGGATAATAAATTTTTCTCTTACCTTTATGATTTTAATGAGTTTTTCATCTTCTGGTACATTGGGATTAATTGCAATGACAATGCCATCATATCCATTGTTATTTAAAGTTACCCATGAGCTTTTCAACACAGGCAAGAGAAGCAAGGATAGGAAGAGAATCACCTTCAGACTGAACACCATTTTTGCACGTGGTATGGTAAACCTTTTGGAAATGTACAAAGGGTATTTATGTATCTCTTAACTCAGGAGTTTGCATCAAGACCAAAATATTTGCATAAAGATAGCAAATTACTAAAATATCTTGGTTAACTTTCTTATCTTACTCTAAAGATTTAGTTGTTAGTTAGCATTATGCTGAACACATTTATCATACTTTCCAAGACAGCTGAGTCAGTAAGTATTCAATGAATTGAATAATTCTTTTAGATTGTGTAGTTGCCATCATAGCAGTGGCAGATCTTCATTGAAAGCTTAATTGAAGCTTTTATCATTAGCATCAAATAGTATTAGAGATGTAAATCCTGGGGTTTGTTTATTAAGAAGCACAATCTGGAGGGATGAGGAACTGAAATTAAAGGAACCAGGAAACAGTAGATTAAAAAAAGGATAAAGGGATTTGAGTCAGAATGGCAGCATACTAAGGGTTTATATTTATTCTTTCTGGGAGTAAATAAAAGCACAGTAGTTGAGAACAGCTAAGGGGAATTTTATTTTTATCTTTTGCAATAACTACTTGTATGTTTATTTCAGTCTTGAAATAGCACTGAATGTTCTACATATGTGGATAACCGATAATATGCTCCAGTTAAGCTTTCTTTTTTGGATTAAACACAAAACTTCCTTTGGTTGGAGGAGTTGTACTCATAGCATTGTGAGCTGGCTCTCCAGTCAGATACATGTAAACCTGACTCTTGCCTTGGTCACTCAACAATCAAGTTATTCTTTCTAAGAGTTCTGTGGCTCTGTTTTAGGCCTAATTTCTTTTCTGTGATATCAGACTAATTATGGGATGTTGGAAGAATTAAATGAGACAATTCATGGAAAGTACTCCATAAAAGATTTCTGATACCTATTAAGTACTCAAGACATTATCTATTAATATTAAACATTACATATTATATTATGAATAAAAAACTTGGTATAAATTTTGCCAATTAAATTCTGTTTTCATTACTTTTTTTAATAAAATTTTTAAATATAGTCTTCCATTGTTTAACTGGGGAACTAACTTGCCTGAGCTTGCCTGAGATTAGAGGAAAAACTGTCAGAATGAAACTATAACCTTTAAAAAATGCTCTTGATTATCTCCATCTATTTTGGCAATATCCTATCCATATTGATTCAGTTTAGGTGTGGCCTCACCTGTAACATCTTCCCAAATCATTCATACTACAAGTAATCTTACTTCCTTTGAACTTGTTTGAACGAGTATATTTACTACCTGTATGGCATTTGCTATTATTAATATACATAGTATATCTCCCTACTAGATTGTAAACTCTTCTTTGGAAGGAAGAGATTACTTTTTTGAGTGTAACCTATCCATCTGAATTTCATTAACTATTATATGAGGACAGTAATAGCTATCTAGAAGAAATGTTGTGAAGGTTAAATGAAATAACATGTGGGAAAGCACCCATTATAAATGCTGGTACATAACCGTAAACAAGTTTATTCTTTGCTTTTTCTTGTTCTTTATAATTCATATGAAAAAATATGTGAGTGCTTCTAGGTTCCAGGCCCAGTGGTCTGCTCTTTAGAGAGTACTGAAATGAGTAAAACACAGTCACTGCCTCCAAAGAACTTGAGGATTTGTTGCATAGATTAGATTAGAATACAAAAGATTAAAACAGAAGATGAAGTAAGAAAAAAATTCTAGAAGAGAGTTACAAACACAGTGCTAGGAAGCCAAAAGTTGGGAAATAGTTTTTCTTTTTTTTAAAAAAATTTTTTTTTATTTCCATGGGTTTTTGGGGAACAAGTGGTATTTGTTTACATAAGTTATTTAGTGGTGACTTGTGAGATTTAGGTGTACCCATTTCTTGAACACTATACGCTGAACCCAACTTGTAGTCTTTAAAATTTTTTTTTTTGAGATGGAGTTTCGCTCTTGTTACCCATGCTGAAGTGCAGTGGCACGATCTCGGCTCACTGCAACCTCCACCTCCTGGGTTCGAGCAATTCTCCTGCCTCAGCCTCCTGAGTAGCTGGGATTACAGGCACGCGCCACCATGCTCAGCTAATTTTTGTATTTTTAGTAGAGATGGGGTTTCACCATGTTGACCAGGATGGTCTCGATCTCTTGACCTCGTGATCCACCCGCCTTGGCCTCCCAAAGTGCTGGATTATAGATAGGCATGAGCCACTGTGCCCGGCTGTAGTCTTTCATCCCTCACCCTCTTCCCACCCTTTCCCCCTGAGTCCCCAAAGTTCACTGTGTCATTCTTAGGCCTTTGCATCCTCATAGCTTAGCTCCCACTTAAGAGTGGGAACATATGCTCTTTGGTTTTCTTTTCCTGAATTACTTCACTTAGAATAATAGTCTCCAATCCCATCCAGGTGGCTGCGAATGCTATTAATTCATTCCTTTCTATGGTTGAGTAGTGTTACATCATATATCTATATCATATTTTCTTTATGTACTCGTTGATTGATTGGTATTTGCGTTGGTTCCACATTTTTGCAATTGTGCTGCTATAAGTGTGTGCAAGTATCTATAATGACTTATTTTCCTCTGGGTACTCAGTGGTGAGATTACTGGATAAAATGGTAGTTTTTTTTTTTTTTAAGACGGAGTTTCACTCTGTTGCCCAAGCTGTAGTGAAATGGCATGATGTCAGTTGGAAGTGAAATGGCATGATGTCAGTTGAAACTGGAACTCTACCTCCCAGTTTCAATTCTCCTGCCTCAGCATCCTGAGTAGCTAGGATTGCAGGTGCTTGCCACCATGCCTAGCTAATTTTTGTATTTTTAGTAGAGATGGAGTTTCACCATGTTGGCCAGGTTGGTCTTGAACTCCTGACCTCAGGTGATTCACCCACCTCAGCTTCCCAAAGTGCTGGGATTACAGGCGTGAGCCACCATGCTTGGCCAATGATAGTTCTACTGTTAGTTTTTAAAGGAATCTTCACATTGCTTTGTACTAGTTTGCAAGCTAGTGCTAGTGGTTGTACTAGTTTACATTCCACCAGCAGTGTAGAAGTGTTCCCTTTTCATCGCATCCACGCCACATCTATTATTTTTTGATTTTTGATTATGGCCATTCTTGGGGGAGTAAGGTGGTACATATTTTGGTTTTGATTTGCTTCTCCCTTATCATTAGTGATGTTGAGCAGTTTTTCATATGTTTATTGGTCATTTGTATATCTTCTTTTGAGAACTGTCTATTCATGTCCTTAGCACACTTTTGGATGGGATTTTTTTTTTCTTGCTAATTTGTTTGAATTCCTTGTAGGTTCTAGATAGTAGTCCTTTGTCAGATGTATAGATTGTGAAGATTTTCTCCCACTCTGTGGGTTGCCTGTTTACTCTGCTGACTGTTCCTTTTGTGTTGCAAAAGCTCTTTAGTTTAATTAAGTCCCTGCTATTATCTTTGTTTTTATTATATTTGCTTTTGGGTTCTTCTTTATCATGAAATCCTTGCCTAAGCCAATGTCTAGAGGGGTTTTCTGATGTAAACTTCCAGAATTTTTTTAGTTTCAGGTCTTAGATTTAAGTCCTTGATTCATCTTGAGTTAATTTTTATACAAGGTGAGAGATGAGGATCCACTTTCATTCTCCTACATTTGGTTTGCCAGTTATCCCAGCATCATTTGTTGAATAGGGTGTCCTTTCCCTACTTTATGTTTTTGTTTGCTTTGTGGAAGATCAGTTGGCTATAAGTATTTGGGTTTATTTCTGGGTTCTTTATTCTGTTCCATTGGTCTATGTGCCTATTTTTATAACAGTACCATGCTGTTTTGGTGACTATGGTCTTACAGTATAGTTTGAAATCAGGTAATGTGATGCTTCAGATTTGTTATTTGTACTTAGTTTTGCTTTGGCTATGTGAGCTCTTTTTTGTTCCATGTGAATTTCAGGATTGCATTTTCCAGTTCTGTGAAAAATGATAGTGATATTTTGCTGGGAATTGCATTAAATTTGTAGATTGATTTTGGCAGTGTGGTTATTTTCACAGCATTCATTCTACCCACCGATGAGCATGGCATGTGTTTTCATTTGTTTGCATCATTTATGATTTCTTTCAGCAGTGTTTTGTAGTTTTACTGGTAGAGGTCTTTCACTTTCTTGGTTAGATGAAAATTCCTAAGTATTTTATTTTTTGAAGCTATTGTAAAAGGAGTTGAGTTTGTGATTTGATTCTCAACTTGGTCACTGTTGATATATAGGAGAGCTACTGATTTGTGTAGATTAACTTTGTATCCTGAAAGTTTGCTGAATTCTTATATCAGTTCTAAGCATTTTGGAGGAGTCTTTAGGGTTTTCTAGGTATATAATCATATCATCAGCAAACAGCAACTGTTTGACTTCCCCTTTACTGATTTGGATGTCTTCTATTTCTTTCTCTTGTCTGATTGCTGTGGCTAGTACCTCCATGTTGAATAGAAGTGGTGACAGTGGGCATCCTTATCTTGTTCCAGCTCTCAGAGGGAATGATTTCAAAATTTCCCCATTCAGCTATATACTGGCTGTGGGTTTGTCATAGATGGTTTTTATTACATTGAAATATGTCTCTTGTACGCTGATTTCGCTGAGACTTTAAATCATAAAGGGATGCTGGATTTTGTCAAATGCTTTTTTGTGTGTATTGAGATGATCATGTGATTTTTGTTTTTAATCTTGTTTATGTGGTGTATCACATTTATTGACTTGCATATGTTAAACTATTTCTTCCTCCCTGGTATGAAACCCACTTGATCATGGTGGATTATCTTTTTGATATGTTGTTGGATTCAGTTAGCTACTACTTTGTTAAGGATTTTTGCATCTATGTTCATCAGGGATATTGATCTGTAGTTTCCTTTTTTGGTTATGTTCTTTTCTGGTTTTGGTATTAGAAAGATACTGGCTTCATAGAATGCTGATGTCTTCAGCTACCAGGGTGAGTAGGAAAGGACCATCAGGTGGGGTCAGGCTAGGTGTGTCTGAGCTCAGTCTCCTTGGGCAGCTCTTGCTGTGGATGCTGTGGGGAATGGGTTTATG